TTTAATAAGCTTCTACAGCATATGTTGCTCCAGCTCCTCATGCATATAAAGCCCGCATGCAAGCATAAGACCCAAAACATCTTCGGTGCATGCACTAATACTCTGGAGACTTGCTGTACACTTTCTCGGCTTTTATATCAGGCAGCAGCAAACACCAGGCAGCGCAAAATACTTATTTCTCTATCTCCCCCGAGAAATACAGGCTTCTGTGTGCCTGGGGTGCGAGGGACAGAGGGGCAGAAGGAAGGGAGAGCTTCTGCTGCTGCTGCTGCTGCTGCTGCATGCCTCGGTGTTTCCGCCACTACACCGGTTCCTCTTGCTGCTTCTCTTGTTTGTGGTTTCTATCACCTTTTCATAGTTGCGACGTAAGGCTGGGAGAGAAACGCTGCAGGCCAAGAGCGTCTACTTTGGTGACCTCACGAGAAGAAATGCAGCATCTACTCAGTCTGTCTCGGGCGGGCAGTTGTTTCCTTAACAGAGAGTATTATAATTTATTTTATTCTAGTGCAAGGAGGGGACAGAAGGAGTGAATCTTTTTCTCTCTCTCATCAGCTGCTTCTCTCTTTATCGCCCTCGTTCCACTCCGTCGCCACCCCGTCGCTTGACTGCCGCCGAGGCCTACCCCCCTTCACGGCCGCGAATGTATCAGATAGCAGAAAAAGTTACAGCGCCGCTGGCTATCATTCTCCTCAGCTGCTGCTGAGCTTGTGGCTCACTGCCTGGGACCCTCAGGTACCCAGGGCTCTACACTCCACCCCCCCCCCCCCCCCCCCCNCCCCCGCCGCTCTCATAGTGAAGGGGGGGAGAGCGGGGGGGGAGGGGGCCTCGCGCGCTAGCTCTTAACCCCCCCTCTGTGGCGCTGCAGGTTCCATGCTGCAGAGAGGCAAAGGGTAGCTGGCTGGGCCATAGAGGGGTGTGGAGGTGATGGTCAAAGCCTTGCTCTTGCTCTTGCTGCTGCTGCTGCGGCTGCTGCTGTTGCTGCTGCTGCAGCTGCTGCTGCTGCTGCTGCGGATGGTGCCGAGGCAGCGAGTGCCGTGCTATGAAGGATCGATGCTTTGAGTCCACCGTTGGATTTCTGTTCACCAAGGAGTGATGCATCCTTTTTTAGCGTTCTATTGATAGCTTTCCTTGTTTAATTTTTTTCAGCTTTTTATTATTTTCTTTTCTTGCTGGGGCGGGGATAACCCTCCAGCACCGCCCGCGTCAACGAGCTCTCCTGGGGGGCCTAAGCTCCCGCCCCCGTTTATAATAAAGTGGATGCAGGAGAGGCTTTGCTTGCTTCGCTCTGAAGATGAAATTAAAAAGCTTCGTACACACCATGCTAGAATTAAAGTTTGCTAGAGTATTTCTACTTGTTTTCGGGATGCTGATGGAGGGCAAAGTAAATGTTTAAGAAATATCTAAAGTGTTAATGCATGCAGTAATAGGGCTTGGTTGTACATACAGCTGAAGTTGCTTTGCAGCACGAGTTGCTATTGCTGCTATTGCTGCGGCTCTTGCTTTTTCTACTGCTGCTGCTGCTGCTGTTTCTGCTGCAGCAGCTGCTGCTGCTGCTGCCAGGCACTCTCCAAGGAGCGCACACAGCCTGCTGCGCTGCTGCAGCACCTACCCGCCCCGCTGCTCTGTCCCGCCCCCAGGGCCTTGTGCTGCTGCTCCGCTGCTGCCTGGTGAGTGGAGCAGATGTAAGATGTTTAATTAAGAAAATATTTTTTCTATGAATTTTTTCAACTCTGTTGCAGCTTGCGGCAACTGAAGAGTATGAATATAAGATAAAAATTATATTTATATTCTATATATGCATATAATATAAACATTATATTTATACTCTACATATGTATATATAAATATAATGTTTATATTGTACTCTAGGCAACCACAGTGTAACTAACAGAGACAGAAGAGAAGAAAGGGGATGATGATGATGATGTGGGGAGGAGACAGAGGAGACAGCAGCAGCAGCAGCAGCAGCAGCAGCAGCAGCAGCAGGAGCATATGTTGCTGCTGCTGCTTATGTATAGGAGAACACAAGAGGACAGCAGCAAGAGGAGAGAGTTTTCTGTGTATAGAGAGGCTCTATACAGCAGAGAAAAAAATAATTTTAATATTTATAATATTTATATTTCAATAAAAACTCATCAGCAGCAGCAACACGCCGCATGCAAGTAGAAATAAATAAAGTCCCAGCTCTAGACAAAGTCTAGTATTGAGGTGGAGGCGTGAGTGCTGCTGCTGCTGCTGCTGCTGCTGCTGTTGCTGTTGCTGCTGCTGTGCAGGCGAGACGCCGCTGCACGTGGCGCTGCATGTGTNGTGCTGCTGCTGCTGCTGCTGCTGCTGCTGTTGCTGTTGCTGCTGCTGCTGCTGCTGGTGTTGGGGTGTTGCTTGTGTTTGTTATTTATTATTTGTTTTTATATTTTAATTATTTTTTTTCTGTTTATTTATTTTTATATTTGCGCGAGAAAGGACGCTGCTCTCATGCACAGGACGGGGCTGGGGGGGAAGG